ATAATTAGAGTGTCATGCACTAAACATTCAAGCTCCAGCTTACTCATATAACACACAGACATCAAGAATCAACAAATGAACCTCAACCGTGGTTGCTAAAAAAAAAAAAAAAAAAAGCGGCATAGCTCATGCTGCAATGCATGCTGGGTGCCAGCATAGTACAAAGCTCCCAGCATGCATTGCAGCATTAATTAATTATGCAGCTTTATGTTCTTACAATCTCTTTCTTTTCCTTTATTTTGTGTTGTTTTTGGGAGGTGATATTTCACTAGAGTGTTTTTTTACTTGATTTTTATTTTTTTGTTTGTCACCATCATTGAGATTCAAAGACTAATTGTTGATGTCAGTGTGTTTTTAAGTTCTGCCATAGATCAAACATTCTCATTGTAAATATTGGGTTTATTTTGTTTTATATTATTGGAGCTTCAGTGGTTTCATTTATGTATATTATTTATTTCTCACACATAACTAATATGATATTGAATTAGAAAACAAGCAGGAAAGGATGGCTATGTTATCATAGAAAATCTCTAAAGACTGACACATTAATTTTCTTTCGGCTTTCCATGCCAATGTATAAATAGTGTAATTAACACTAACTATAGCAGCCAAAATAAAAGACATTTATAGCAAGAAGTTGAAGAGCCTGACTAAAGTAGACTCTGTCCTCCATCATGGTGACTTTAAATGAACAACAGAAATTTCATTAAGAGCTTTAGTTCACATGACAGAAATCAAGTCAAAGGTCAGTAATAGGTGAAGCTCCATGATAAGTTGTTTAATGTAATGAGAATTTTTTTAAAGATGTTGAAAAATAACATTTTTTATTGTGTAATTTGTTTTATTTTTATTGATTATTATTTTATTTAGAGTTTTTTTTCTGAGTTTATTTCATCTTTGGCTTGTGTTTTTCTGTCCTTAAGTGATTCTGCTTGTTAACAGTTGTTCATCAACAATTCTCAATCCTCCTTTAATTAGACACTTAATTGTCTCAATAACTTCATCACTGTCTGAGTGTTCAGCCCTCTGTAGTGAGGACACTAGTGAGGATTTTGCTGTGGAATTTAAGGCTTACGTGTGTTCGAATTAAAAATACAGACTATGGGATGTGTTTTTAACAGAAATATTCTGGAAACTGAATTTACGAATGTAAAATGTTGAAAACAGCAGATTACTGGCAACCACTGCTGCCAGTATTTTGACATACATTTAACAGATATTTAACACAATAAGAGTTTGCTAATTAACACTCTGGGTGTTAAAAATTTTAACACTTTCAAAAATGTTATTTTAACACTTATAGTGGTTCCCATATAAACACTGAGGGAGTGTTAATTTTAACTCTAAGGTAGTTAAATCTACCAAATCTAAAATTTGCAGTGTGAGATCGATAAAAAATACAGACTGTTGAATGTGCTTTTAACAGAAATATTCTGTAAACTGAATTTATGAATGTTAAAAACAGCAGATTACTGGCAACCACAGCTGCTGGTATTTTTCCGTAAAATCTAAAAATGAAAAAAAAAGAAAGAAAAACAGCAAAACGGTTTTTGTGTCACCATTGTGGAGGATAATAGCGTCTCTGTTCAAGTCCAAGATGAACTGAGAAAATCTGATGTTATGCTGCATCTTCTTTTGTTTAAAGGTAACTGTGTAGTTACTAATGCCGTCAAAATCTGTTTGCTAATTGCAATCACACATGAAAACATTATTGCATCTAAAGAATTTACATTTTTTTGCACTAAGCTATGATTTTGTAAAATTAACAATGTATTAGTTCATGAAATATGGTTATATTTTGTAAATTTATACAGTTATATAAAACTTCCATGTTTTTCACAAAAAGGTTCTGGCAACCACAGCTGCTGGTATTTTTTTGGAAATTTAACAGATATTTTACACAATAAGAGTTTGCTAATTAACACTGTCTTGGTGTTGACAATGTTAACACTTTCAAAAGTGTTATTTTTAACACTTATAGTGGTTCCCATATAAACTCTGAGGGAGTGTTAATTTTAACTCCAAGGTAGTTAAATCTACTATCTAAAATTTGCTGTGTACTATTATATATGTATTTTTAAGTACCAAAAAAAAAAAAATCTAAACACATGCTTAAAATTTCAACATAATAGTGAAAATAATTAAATAACTTTAAATAATTATTTAAATTTTGCTCACTCGCGCAATGTGCTTGTCAACGTGTCGTAAAGGCAAAATCAAAACAAAAATGGCAGACAAACATAAATGCAGTGATTCTTCAGAGGCGAAGAAAAAGATTAGACAGTATGACAAAGCCTACCTAGATTTTGGTTTTATTGAAGGCCAAGACAAGTTAAAACTGATTAATTAATATATTTTCTATACATATTACTATATATATTAATATTACACAAACACACACACACACACACTCTAAAAACGAATGTGTTGAAAACAACACAACATGTGTTATTTTCAACACATGTCCTGAGTGTGCTCAGGGACAACACATGTTGAGTTAAGTTTAACACACAAAATGTGTCATTTAATGTAACACATTAATGTGCAGCATAAGTTGACACACAGATGTGTTGTTATTGTATGTATTTAACACAACTGTGTGTTACTATTCAGTTTTTATAATTTTGAATGTAAAATATATTATAAATTAATATACAAAATCTCACAGGAAACATTAAACACTGTTCACATACTGTTTATTTTTTCCTTTTTAACATGAAAATAATGCATTTAAATGTTTTACAGCATTTCATTGTACAAACAATTCATTGTATAACATAAAAACTCACTTTATAAAAGCATTCATTAAATTGAAATTGTATCTGTTACACACGCCATATAAACTGTCAAATATGTATGAAACAGTTTCCAACATATACATTTTTTAAAATTCTCTAGTGAAAGAAATAAGTAACCATAGCACAACGTTTATGCATTCACCTACATGTAAGATGCTTGTCTTAACAAAATAAATCATTGTCAAATCTAGTCAAAACACTTAAACATTTAGGTAACCCTTTATAGTAACGACACTATAAATCATTTATTGAGCATTAGCAAATAGTTAATTCACTATTTGTTTAGCATTAACTCTACATTATAAGACATTAGTAAGCGGTTCATAAACACAGCCACAAAAGGCTGAATTTTTGACTTATAAGCGCATTTATAATGTGCTTAATGATTGTAGTTTCATAATTCAAACTTTCAAATACAAATGGTTTGTAAATAATGCAGTCCTTAATTTAGTAGTGAAAAATTAGTCAGAAGCAAAGTATAAAAGTACAATTGTTAAGCGCATTATAAATGTACTTATAAGTCAAGAATACAGCATTTGTAATTGTATTTATGAACCGCTTACTAATGTCTTATAATGTAGAGTTAATGCTTAAAAAAAAATAAATTCACTATTTGCTAATTCTTAATAAATGATTCATAGTGTAGTTATTATAAAGTGTTACCAAAGTTTCAACCACTAACATGTTTAAAACAAAATTTTGTATTTAGGAGTTACATACTGCTGATTGCAAAATGTCACAATGTCTAGAGGTCTGTAATCTATTAAGTCCCCAGGCAGCAAAGCCATGTCAAAATCATTTGTTCTGATGACACTGAAGGAAAAAAGATGTTCATCAAAATACTTAACTCTTAAAACTCTCAGAAACATAAGTGCGCATTCTCTTTCACTTTGGGGAATAATGTGTATAACTTCACCAAATAATGGTTCTCCCCTTTCATCTGCTTTTAAAGTCAGAACAGATCCTGTCTGGTATGTTGTCCCCAAAAAACTGATATTATTACTCACATGAATTGAACTGGTGTAAGTAAGAGTCTCAAAATGTGTATCTGTCTTAAGCTTGTCAAGCAATTTGTCACCCTTATACAAAGATGCAATTACAACTGGAAAAGCATTTGGTACAATCATCTCAGAATTGTGTTTCGAGCTTAATTTCCATTGGTGCATTTGCTGAATCTGGTGTTTATGAGCCAGTGTTTTTGAAATATTACGAAAGTTGCAAACAACTTGGGCATGTCGCTTAAGAGGGTGATGTTTGGCTTCGAACCTCATACACCACAACTTTGAAAGCGGTCCAAATAAAGTCATGATACTCGGGTAGTGTGTCATGTAGTGATGTTTAGGAATTAGATTCCTTTCAGGATAAAGAATCTTGAACTGTGTATGGTGATCAGTTATTAGCTGCTTAAGATGGACATCAAGCCCTTTTGACACAACAGGTGCAAAAATTATGTCACAAATTTCCCTCAACATTAGGAAAAGGTGCCAGTGTGGGCTCTGTGTGTCAATTAAATCACCTAACAGAAAAGGCAAGACTAGAAGTAAACACCACATCTGTGATGCAGTCTGCTTAATAGCATTTTCAGATGTCCTCAGATTGACAATAACACTAGGTTTATTTTTTTGATTTCCATAGCCATAGTTAAAAGCTGCTATTCTTTCATTTAAAAGTTCCAGAGAAAAACATTTCTCTTCATAAATGAAATGCCGCAGCATCAATTTGACCTCAAGAGGTCCGACTCCTTCCAACACATCATGCATAATGTCTACACCAATATTCTCAGTGACATGAAAATACTGTAGGCTGTTTAGGCATGAGTTATGTTTGACACCGGTTGCACTTGCATCATTGAGTTGTACATGGTATGCATAGTTTTCCCTTGTACGTCTCTCTGTATTATTTTCATCAAAAATAATCTGGGAACTTGATTTGTCAATTAGACAAAATTGACAAAATCGGTTTGCAGAGAAACTTTCCACATAGCCACAGAGTGAGTGACAGGCAAGATTGTCCGCTGTCAGCAAACAGACTGTTCCAAAAAGTAATTGATGTTTATCGTGTAGTTTGACCTCTATACCATTCTGCTCAATTTCTTTAAAGTCTGTTATAAGAGGTTCTAAAATTTTGTCAAAACCATAAATGTATTTATCAATAGAATTAAATAAGAGACATAAATGGATATTGGAAAGTACAGAATTTTTTTCTGACGGCACATTTCGTAAAGCAAACAGCCCCCATTTTATGAATCTTTGTTTTAGATCCAAGAGGATTAGTTGTTTCCAAATCATCGAAGTATAACTGAATTTGTAATGCATTTGGATGGTTTCGGTAAAGAGGATGTTTAGAATATTAAGCACCATCACAATAATCATGCATTGTATCTCGTTCACCGCAAGACTGCATATACATATTCTGCATTTTGTCACAACTAAATAAAAATTTAATTGTGTTAATTATTGAGATGTACTGACATGTGACAGGCACAAGCACCTGGCTTTTCCCCCCATTCTTTCTAAGACAATCTAATCTGTGACCAAGAAACACTTCTGTTGGTTTTTCAAAGGAAAAATTGTCAGAAAAGTACTTAGTTAGTTTAAATGTAGTATCTATGTCGCCAAACATGTTTCTAGCATTGTCGAAATCCTTCACAAGTGTTTGAACTTCAGCACTATCTAGCGGAACTGCCAAGTTCTTAAGTAAAGTATTAGTCTTTTCTTGCAAATGACCTAAGGTACGATCAATAACTTCTTTTGTGCAGGTTATACTTTTTTGAACATCAGTATAAGTTACATTAGAAGAGGCATACATGCTGGCAGCAAAAGCAAAAGTCTTTTAGGTTTAAACTGCTCTGAGGAACTAGCTCTGTTTTAGACATTTGGACATTATCCTCAAAATTATTTATTCTGCTTTCATCAATTTGATAGGATATATCTAAGTTCTTTGTATGTCCTGACTCGTCAGAAGGGCCTGAATTCGTTTTAAAATGATCTCTGTTCAGATGTTTTAAAAAGGAATTGAAATTATGATAAGTTCTTGGGCAACCATTTTGACTACAAATTAAAGTTAGGTTGTAACTATCAGAGAGTGCATGCACTTCCCTTAAATGCCAAATTAACCCCTTTGTTTCAACAAAATCATTTTGAAGACACTTTGGACAGGTGTACATGCTTATTTCAATTAGGTACGAGACTGCACCTTAGCAATCAATTCCATGACCTTTGATCGTTTGCAAGATGACTGGGACAAAGACAGGTCATATATATACTCAAAAAAAGAAAAAACAGAAGACAGTTGGCATGGATACTGAAGGTTGCACAGCCAGTAGAATTTGAAAAGTCTGTCTACAGCACAGGTCAGGCTTTCAACATCAAGTGGAAGAGCAAAAGAGTCATTCTTTGCCACAATTACGTTCTGGGATCCATGTCCTAGAGAACCGATGGAAACCAACTGCGGCTGAGCTGACTTCAGGGTCCCATTCATGGATTCAGCGAGCAAAGATGTAACGTTGGTACCAGCCTTCAAAAATGAAACAATGAAAAGCATTAGAAAATGTTGCTCCATTAAAAACAATTTTATTTATCACAAGCTAACACAATAAAAACTATACCGGCACTTGCTCCAACAGGTAGGACACAGCAGAAGTCACACAGCATTTACTCCCAGCAAAACTTCTCCCAGATGCAGTGGGTGGAAGAAGATGAATAAGGATCTTCAACATAGTGTAACACAGTTCATCTTGAAGTGAAGATACAGGTCACATGCAAAAAAAGAATTTAAGATTTTTTTGGAAATTAATACTTTATCTTTAATAGAATATCAATATTCACATAAAATTTTCTCATTTAAACTATGTTTAGAAAAGTATGCCCATGCAACAGACATTTTGGCTGAAACTCATACCATCATGCTGATTCTCAGCCTTCTCCAGTAAGTGTCTGATGTCATTTTTCTTCTCCAAGGATGCTATTTCCTTGAGTCTTGGAATTATCGTCCCTTCCCATTTCCGGATAAACAAGTCTTCTTTCCCATCGGTGAGCTTGGAAAATTCAATGTCCATCTTCAAAGAAAGAAAGAAAGAAAATCAGAAACAAAGAAATATTAATATTACAATTATGAAAAATGTTTGTGTAAAGTTCTGTCTTAGTTAAGCATGTCTATTACCAAAGCTGGCATGTCAAGAAATCTAGGATATTCCTTGAAGATTTCAGCAACAGTTGGGGATTTTGTTGTTATCCATCTCCTTCGGTAACTGAAGGTTTGATTGATTGCAGTCTTTATTGATGATGAATTCTCTGGTGATGGTCGCATCCTCTTTATCAGAGTCAACTACTCACTTGGTACAGTTTCATCTGGACTTGGTAAAGAAGGTTGCGGTGTACAATGACGACGTTTCAAACTGTACACCCGCTGGCTCTGTTGAAGCTTCCGTCTGATGTTACGTAATCTCATTTCAATAAATCCACTGTGCGATGGCCCATCAAAAAAATGCTCCTGATGTTAGTAATGCAAAAACAGAACTAGTTAAAGTCAAGTATACATGAGCAACTTGCATACACATTCCTAAACAATTCAGTTTATATTGTAAAAAACATTCTTACATGTCCCTCATTTTCCCCAAAGGGCACCTGAATCCTTAACGAGGGGAACAATGACACAATCTCTTTTGCTAGAGCCAGCTTTTCTGTACCAGATGGATAGCTAAAAAAAGTAAAAAATTAAAAATAAAAACACAGTTGCACAAATTGCTCCTTCACAAAAATAAAAAACTGACTAAACAGTGGTACTTTAGAATTGATTGGGATAAACTGATTGTTAAATGTATTTATTTAAAACATTTTTTTTAAATGTAGAATTTATTTTAATATATCACTTATTTAAATAAATGTAATTTAATTAATTTGCAAAGAAATACACCTTACGTGGAATAAACAAACCATACTCACAATCCATGTTTCTCTACAAGGTCACTGACAGCAACTTTAACAAGAATCTTTCTTGAGGAAATCGACAGCGTCTTAGTCTCTTCATGTTCTCTCAGGATTGTAGGGGCTTTTTCTTCAAGCAGCGTCACCAAACTAGTTGTGGTGCCAGTCTGAATTGAATCTGTTAAAGGACACTAGAAATGCCAAAAACATTTTATTTATTGAAATGTTCACTTTTATCTATAGTAATATAAAGGGAGAAAGATATTAATGTTTTACCTGTAATAAGTGCACACTTCTTTCTAATGAGTCCGGGGTGTTGCTTGCAATAAAATACATTTGAAATTTGTCAAGCTCCTGTACTCCTGCATTTACATCAGTGTCAATGAACTCTTGAAAATCTGTGTCAAATTTCAATATTCGATCAAGAGATAGTTGTTGAGACAGTTCAAGTTTGACTGAGGCTATCAGATCTCCAACACTGCCAACTGTGAATAGTTTTCTCCATATTTCCTTTTCGTCTATGAAGACAGTTGCAAGAACTCGGTGTAAAACTGTTAAAGTGACTGTAATTTGCTCCTCGACTTCCATCATCCAAGTAAAAGAGAGAAATCCATGTATATACAAGCACAATGAGAAAACAAACACATGTAACAATGAGTATGACAATAAAAAGCACATTTTAAATAGTATATGACTAGTCGGTTAGCACAAAATGGCGCGCAATGTTGATTAAAATAAAGATCTTCATATTTTAACGCTAACGTTAGATATTGTTTATGAATTTGCTCACACAGCGGCGCCATTTGGTGTCTGTACAAAGCGCCAAACTAATGTTATGGAAAGGGATTCTTGTTCAAATTCCTGCCGCAAAGCGGCATCTTATGTTTTATATCAAATAACATCATGATTAAAACGTTGATGTATAAATTGTGTCCGGTATCGTTAATTTACCTCCAGTGTCAGTGATGCGGAGGCTTTAAAGTGACGCGAAGCCGGAGATTTTAAAGTGACGGCAACTCTCATACCAAAATGCAATACATATTTAGGGTCAGTCTTTCACCTTAAATATGTAACTTATTATTAACAATTCTGCCGAGTGCCAACGCAGCTTTACAAAAGACGCGCCAGATGCGTTAGCTTAGGCGGCTAAAGTTAATGGTACATGACCGAGTTGCCAAGTCACCCGTGTATTTGGAGTATGAAACATGGAGACATAAGAAAAGTAACAAAAATAACTTCCTGGACAACTTACACAAAACATTCTCACGCAGAGTGGAAGAAATATTTACTATCGTAGCCGAATTCTAATTAATTTCACACACCTGAGGTAGAGAGGTGCATTATCCGACAGAGCTCCCGGAGAGCGACGGTTGAAAAAGAACGTCACTGCGCATGCGCGTGCACAAATACACAGCATAAATCCCGAAATACAGAATTTTCAGCCACATTTTCACAAATGCTTATTTTATATTACCATTATGATAAATAAACTACATAAACACATAACACAGTGCCATTTGACTCCAGACAAAAATGCATTTTATTCCAACATACTGTTTAAATGTGTTTAACACAGTCATTGTGTAAACACTTAAGCACAATATTAACACACAATGTGTCTGCAGTAACACAAAATGTGTTACGAACTGTTTAACACATATTTTGTGTAAATTTTTAACACATCATTTTTAAGAGTGCACACACACACACACACACACACACACACACACATATATATATATATATATATATATATATATATATATATATATATATATATACACACAGTACATATGTGTGTGCGTGCGTGTGTATTTATATGGTGGGGGGGCTCCAATGTTTGTATATGTTCATGGGGGGGGGCCCCAAAGAAAAAGGTTGGGAACCACTGCATTAGGCCACTGGTCCATGTCACCAGTCTTCTATCAAGGATCTCTTGTATGTCTTCAATAAGATGCCACCGCATGGAAAACTGCACTTTAGGATCTCGATGCCAGTTTGCATTCTGTTAAAATAAGAACTAATGGACAAACATTTTCTTTCTGCAATCATTCACATTCGTGTCTCTTTGGTCCTGGGGTATGGTTCTAGCGTATAGTGGGACTGGTCTTGAGATATTCGAATTCCAGTCAAGGCCACTCTCATTAACTTGAAATCACAACCTTTCTGCAGCTATTTTCTTGTTTGCATTTCATCATCATTTACCTAACATGAGACCGTTAGTTGAAAGCCAAAGTCTGAGAAATTGAAGCTAACTATTGCCCTCAGATCATCACACCTAAGCTTTGAGTAGACAAGTCAGGATTTTTTCACACAACTTAAAAGTAACTCAACAAACACAACCCAAACAGGACTTGAATCCACAATCTCCAGCTTCGAAGGATGATGCCTTATCCATTAGGCATTATCCATCAATTATGCTGATTCTATTCATTCAAATGGTCTCATTCTTTTTCTTGAATTTTACAAAGCCTTTGATACAATTGAGCACCAGTTTTTGTTTAAAGCATTGAGGTTATTTGGATTTGGGGTCCTTTTTGTTAACACTATGGCTATGTTTTATAAAGGAATCAATAGTTCAGTGATCGTTAATTTTAATACTTCTAATTGATTTGATATTTTGTGTGTTATTAGTCAGGGCTGCCCAATCTCTTCCTTTTTATTTTTATTAGTTACAGAATTACTATCCTTAAGCATTGTGCAAAATCAAGATTTCAACGGAATTTCTGCTTTTGGGAGGGAGATCAAGAGGCTTTGAGCTTTGAGGCTTGGGCCCCATCATACACCCGCTGAAATGTGGCGCAACACGCGACGCAATACTTGTTTGCTAGTTTCAGCTTGGCGCAAGAGTCGTTTTGAGGCGTTGCGCCACGCTCTTTAAATAGCAAATGCATTTGCGCTCATATGTGCGCCCATAGGCGTTCTGAGGCGCATTGCTGGCGCGCTGCTATTTTGAGAAACTATAATAGGTTTTTCATTAGACCAAACAAACCTGGTCTAAACTCCAGCGCAGAGTTGCGCCTCGCTTACGCACTGCTTAATACACACAAAATGTAGAGTAATACGCAAATAACTTTACATATGTAAAAAAATAAAATATTAAGGATATATATATAGGATATAATAAGAATATATATATATATATATATATATATATATATATATATATATATATATAGGATATAAATATAAAGGATTAAAATATTGCAAAACATTATTTTCTAGTCTACATTTATATAAAAAACCACTGCTTTCATGTCTTCTTCATCTCGGGAGGCTTTTTCAGTTCATTCATAACAATTTGCTTTTGTATAATGTTATTATTATTAGCAGTATTATTTATTATATCCATATTTATATTTGTTTTATTAAAAAACATGCTTAGATTTGCCCACCTGCAGGTTTTAGACCATATGGGGCACAGCATGTGTTTTAGGAAATAACTCACTTTGAACACACTTTGTTATTATTGTTCATTTATTCGTTTGCTGGAAATTAGAACTGAATTTAGAAATAGTTATGAAATAAATATATGCGCTTATCAAACGAAATTAATTATTTATAGGCTAATTGATGTCTGTGCGTAAAGGTTTCCCTATCCACGAGAGCGAAAGTGAAAGTAGATAATTTATCTCTCATTCTTGCGCGGTAGATGCACTGTTTAACTGTTTGCTTGTGAAATGCTCAGTTTTTCCACTTACACTTTACGTCAAGTAAATAGCAAATGTGCTTATGGCGCGATGCAAGGCTCTTAAAGGGAATGGGAGATGAGACTCTGATTGGTTGATTCTCAAAACACACCTATAACTCATTAAGAAAATAAACTCAACCCTTTTAGACCATGCGCCATGGCGCAAAGCAGATTTTCCCATCCTTAAATTAGCAAATATGGATTCTGACACGCCCTTAATGCATTTGCGCCTTGCACTTTCCGTTTTGCTCATGGACCGTCAAAATAGAGCCCTTTGAGTTTTGAGGGAGGGAGAGGCTTTGAGCTTCAGGATCAGACAGACATTTAAATCACACTCACACTTATAAAATCCCTTCATAATTTCTACAAATAAGCCTAATGTAGAAGTATTAAACTTACATGCAGAAATAAAGATGCTCTTGTGCAGCAGGAGCATAATTTGAGCTCTTTCGCTTCACTAAAACGCACCTGTGTGATCTACAGGTTGATCCTGAATTATTATTGGTTTCACCAAGTGGCACTGACATGAATATTCATGAGATTCTTCTGACTGTGGGCGTGTCCTCAAGACAACACCCAAACCACTGAAACTGAAGATAAGTGTGTTAAAGGAATATTTTTGAGAATAAAAAAGTATTTAGGATTAAATCCACAGTGTTTCTGAAAAATATTTAAGCAGTATTGGACCAATAACTTTAAATAATTTTTTTGTCACAATAAACTCAGG